GACCACAGGCAGGCGCCACCGCCCCCGGCCAACATTAGAATCTTCAGAGCAGAAAGTCTTCTATATACAGGTGTGGCCCAAGCTAATGGATGGAATCTACAGTAAAGAGAAAGTGGGAATTATACCTTAACTTCTGGTAGGTGCATATTAGAATTTAAACTGGGCACTGAACAACAGGCCTAAGTCAGGACCGTCCCAGGCAAACTGGGTTCTGTGGTTACCCTAGCCATAGCTGGTCCCTGTTGGCCAGTTGAGAAGGAGCCCTCTCTGCCGGATCCAGGAGTGTTCACCTACTCATTAATCATATGCAGGAAAATAGACGTTTCTCCAGCTCAGACAACCAGAGGTTCTTCCAGGCAGAATTCCACTCCGTCAGTCACGGCAAACCTTTGAGTTTCTTGGATCCTTTTTCCCATTCCTTGGATTCCTTGGTGTCTTGGGGTAATCAGAGAATACCTCTGCATTTTTTGTAGGGTAGAATGGAAGTTGAGGAGCCTCGAGTCCGCTTAGGCCGTCTCTTCCTATACAATTTCAATGAGAACAACTCTACTCACCCTCTGGTCGAGGTCCAAAGAAAAGATACTTCTGCAATCCTGGACATGAAATGGTACAACTGTGATAATCCCCCTGGGTCTAGAATTTGTCGTGAGTGGCAATCGGGGAGCCTGATGCTTGATGCCTTCAACAAGACAGGCATTGCGTCTCAACTTTGGGTTTATTTCTTTGCTGTCCTGCCTGCCTCCCACTTGGGGAGTGCTTTACCTGGGGCTTACTTCCTTTGTCATGTTGCAGTCAGGAAGTGATGGGAGTTTTCTGACTTCATAACCTCGGGCGTCTTGTGTTTGAGAACACAACTGTAGGCTCTAGCCCAGTTTTGGAGCTGAGATTTAAATGCAGTCATGTGTGGCATAATTCTGTTTTGGTCAACAATGGGGCACATGTACCATGGTGGTGCCTTAACGTAATGGAACTGCCCTATACAGGTGCACCACTTTTTATCATTTTTGATTTTTTTTTTTTTTTTTTTTTTGAGACAGGGTCTTGTTCTGTTGCCCAGGCTGGAGTGCAGTGGCATGATCATAACTCACTGCAGCCTTGAAGTCCTGGGCTCAAGCAGTTCTCCATCTCAGCCTCTCGAGTAGCTGAGACTTCAGCTACATGCCATCACGCCTCTTTTTTTTTTTTTCACTCTCTCGCCCAGTGGCGTGATCTCGGCTCACTGCAAGCTCTGCCTCCCGGGTTCACGCCATTCTCCTGCCTCAGCCTCCCGAGTAGCTGGGACTACAGGCGCCTGCCACCACGCCTGGCTAATTTTTTTTGTATTTTTTAGTAGAGACGGGGTTTCACCGTGTTAGCCAGGATGGTCTCGATCTCCTGACCTCTTGATCCACCTGCCTCGGCCTCCCAAAGTGCTGGGATTACAGGCGTGAGCCACCGTGCCAGGCCTTACCACACCTCATTTTTGTTTGTTTGTTTGTTTGTTTGTAGAAACAAGGTCTTGACGTGTTGCTCAGGCTGGTTTCGAACTCCTTGTCTCAAGTGATCCTCCTGCCTTAGCCTCCCAAAGTGTTGGGGTTACAGGCGTGAGCCACCATGCCCAGCCACCTGTTTTTTATCTTTTATATTATATTCTTACTGTATCTTTTCTATGTTTAGATACACAACCACTTACTGTTGTGTTACACTTGCCTGCAGTAACATGCTGTAAGGTTTGTGGCGTAGGACAATGGGCTGTACCATATCGTCAAGGTGTGTAGTAGGCTGTCCCAGCTGGGTTTGTGTGGACTACAGCCCCGCTGTTAAGCAAAGCGTGACTGTGATTACAGGGACGCACGGTGCTCTCCTGTGCCTTAGGCACATTGGTGTGCTTACGGTGGGCCCTCTCCTCAGGTGTCACATCCCGGTGGCTGGACATGCCCTCTTGGGCTTGGCAGATGCCAGTGGATCCATACAACTGCTCCGCCTGGTGGAATCTGAGGTCAGTGACTTGCACTTGTTCCGTGGGGCAGAAGGGACCTGAATAGAGAGAGTTAGGAAGGAGGCTGTGCTGACACAGACATTTTTCTAGAACGATCTCTCTTCGATGGTGAACAATACATAAACGTTCTAAGATAATATGGAGTCTGTTTTTAAGTTGTATTGCATTCTACCTCCACCTCCAAGAGGAAGTCACCTCGTGTGTCACCAGCAGAAGGGCTGAAGTGACAGGGTGTTCATTGACCTGCCAGTGGGTCTGACTGTTCTCTAAGAACCTGGGCAAGCGTTCGTAGGTTGATGCTGGGGCCCAGAGTAGCAATGAGCGTCCTATGTGAAGATGGCATTTCTCACTGATGATTGGAAAAGCATGTGAGTCCTGGGTGAATTTCTCCGGGTTTCTCACAGTGCTGCAGAGCCATGCATTAGCACAGTGACTTTGTCTGATAGCTGTGGGGGAGGGAACGGGGATGTCCCGTAGTGGGGTGACGTAAACAGCCTGAGACTATGCCCTCCCTCCGATGCAGATGCTGCAGGTGGGACTGGGCCAACCGAGGGCATGTGTAGGAAGGGCCTTGCTTAAGGCAGCAGAGCAGTTGCCCTGTCTTAGAAAGGAGGGAAAGAGCAGCCACAGGAAAGCTGTGGGCCCAAGGGAGGAGTGCATGAACCCAGGAAAAGGTTTTGGTGCAGCAGCCTGCTGGGAGCCAGGGATGGAGTTAAGCACTGACTAGGCTGTTTAGGAAATAAAATGTATATAGATCTGCGTAAAGAGCAACCACGTTCTCATGGCTGCTGGCGGCTTCTGAAGTGGAAACCAGAGGAGTTTCCCCACCGTCTCTGGGGAGGCCTGGGGTGGGCACGCGCGTGTGCCATTGTGGTCTGGAGCCTGCATAGACATCTCGGCAGCATCTAGGAGTGCAAGGACGGCAAGGGGGTGTGAAAGGGAGGGAGACCGTGCCCCAAGGTCAAGCCTGTGGGAAAGTCCTCCTGCAAGTGTGAGGAGTGTGAGCTCCAGTGTCCCCAGGTCTTCTCGGGGCCCCTGGCAGGGGGTTCAGTGTTAGGTGCAAGTGTGACTCAGTGACTGATGGACTTCATCCGGGTAGGGTGTAAATGAGGGAACAGCGACTTCCCTGCAGGAGAGGAAAAGTCTTTTGGGGGCTCTGGGGGGGCTACGTCCCTTTGATGGAGTTTCTTCTTCTCCAGGAGAAGAGCCACGTGCTGGAGCCATTGTCCAGCCTTGCCCTGGAGGAGCAGTGTCTGGCTTTGTCCCTAGATTGGTCCACTGGGAAAACTGGAAGGTAAGGGCCAGGCTTGGTCAGGGGCCCTGAGTCTTTCTCTGAGGACCACTTCCATTTTTCAGGCTACAGCACTCCAGCCACCTTTGGCCAGCCGCGACTGTGCTCCTCAGCCCTGGCACCATCGCTGCTGGTCCGATTCTAAAAAAAAAAGTCCCCCATTTTAGATACGTAGCAATAGTGTTTTACCTAGAGAAGCCGACACTGGTGTCTTTGACGAGCTTAGCAGTGGTTGTGATCTTTGCCAGCCGGTCTCTTAAGGGGCGTGTCCACATCCCAGGGCTGTGGAGACCCTCTCTCAGGACTTGTTTGGGAACCAGAAGAGGCTGACGAATAACATTCGGCCGGGCTTCTGCATGGGTTCCCTGTGTCTAGGGCCAGGGACCAGCCCTTGAAGATCATCAGCAGTGACTCCACAGGGCAGCTCCACCTCCTGATGGTGAATGAGACGGCGCCCAGGCTGCAGAAAGTGGCCTCATGGCAGGCACATCAGTTCGAGGCCTGGATTGCTGCTTTCGATTACTGGCATACAGAAATTGTGTATTCAGGTCAGTATTCCTCCGCTGGTCACCTCTGATGGAAGGCTTCCTGAGGGAGGGGCAGAGGGAGGGGGGAGGCCTGTGCTGCAGCTCTGATTCCAGCTGTGTTGGGATCTTGAAGACCTTTTATGGAAAGTGTACTTTTTTTTTTTTTTTGAGACTGAGTCTTGCTCTGTCGCCAGGCTGGAGTGCAGTGGCACAATGTTGGCTCACTGCAACCTCCACCTCCCAGGTTCAAGCAATTCTTCTGCCTCAGCCTCCCAAGTAGCTGGGATTACAGGCGCCCATCACCATGCCCGGCTAATTTTTGAGTTTTTAGTAGAGACAGGGTTTCACCATGTTGGTCAGGATGGTCTCGATCTCCTGACCTCCTGATCCTCCCTCCTGGGCCTCCCAAAGTGTTGGGATGACAGGCGTGAGCCACCGTGCCTGGCCCACTTAGCTATTCTTTAGAGAGCAAAGTGTAGCTTGCCTCAGGCAGTGCAGGGTCTTGGGTGGTGCTGACCAGGGTGTTGGAGGAGCAGGCCCCTGTGGGCAGAGCCATCCTGCCTCCCTGATGTGCTCCGTGTCAGATCCTCTATGCTTTTACTGGAAGTCCAGTTTCTGTGGATACAATAGTGACATCACCGTGTTGGATTTCAGGTTTGTCTGTGCCCTTTTTGGATTTAGTTTATCTTCCAGAAAAAAAAGGAAGCATGAGAGAAATAAGATTCCTTTCCAGGTCTTGTGAATGGTTTGCATTTGGGGCAGCTGATGTGAGAGTGGAAAATTAACTGCTGATTCCAGGAAGGAGGTAGCTTTGGCTTCTCTTTCCGGGGTGGAGATAATTCAGGACAGGTGGGAGGGGCTGGTCTCTGAGAGAAGACGGAAGAGGAGCTGCTGAATTTGCAAAGAGCCGAAGATCTGACTCTCCCCTGCCGCTACCCATCTGGGCCTCTGTCTCATCTAGTTTGTCACAGCAGAGCCGTAAGTGATGGCCCTGCCTTCATTCCTGATTGTTTCCGTCTCCACACAGTAGTCAGAGCAAGTGTTTTAAAAATGCACACACTTTATCACATCTCACTCATCATTAGAACCCCTCACAGTTCCTGTTTCATTTAGTTCCTGTTTCATAAAATTCAAAATAGCGATGCGATTGCCCAAGGCCTGTGGAATCTGGTCCACGCCTGCTTCTCCGGCCTTGTTTTGGCTCCTCTGCTCTCAGTCACCTTCTCCTGAAATAGTCCACATTCCCTCAGTCTCAGGGTTTCGTCACGGGATGTTTCCTTCATGGGTGAATTCTGCTTTTCTGACATGCTCAGCTTAAAATCTTGTCCTTAGAAGACTGATGCAGAGCAGCCGTCCTTCCACCCCAGGCAGGCCTGACCGCAGCTCTCATGCCGCCTCTGCTCATCCGAGTGGCGAGCATGTGTGTAAGGCGTGGTTCTTTGTTGTGTCGCTTGCTGTCGCAGCCGTGAACTGTGAGAGCCACGAAGATCTCATTTCTTGAGGTCTCTCCTTGGATTGGTTCTTCTACCTCGAGCTAATTCGGAACAAAGGTACCATAGGGTAATATTGAATAATTCTGGACTGATTCATTCAACAAATGCTATGTGCTGAGCCCTATTCTAGGTGATTAGAATACTTTAGCAAACTAAACAGACAAAAGTCCTGTTTTCTTTTTTAAGTTTTATTATTTTCATTTATTTATTTATTTATTTTGAGATGGAGTTTTGCTCTTGTTGCCGCAGGCTGGAGTGCAGTGGTGCAATCTTGGCTCACTGCAACCTCCGCCTCCTGGGCTTCAAGTGACTCCTCCTGCCTCAACCTCCTGAGGTAGTTGGATACAGGCACCTGCCACCCACGCCCAGCTATTTTTGTGTTTTAGAAGAGAGGCAGGGGTTCACCATGTTGCCAGGCTGGTCTTTTTTTTTTTTTTTTGAGACGAGAGCTCGCTCTGTCACCGCAGGCTGGAGTGGGCCGCGTGGCCGGATCTGCATCGCGCAAGCTCCGCGCCCCCGGGTTACACCATTCTCCCTGCGCCCAGCTCCGACTAGCGGGACTACAGGCACGCGTCGCCACCTCGCCCGGCTAGATTTTTGAACTTTTATGTAGAGACGGGGTTCACTGTGTAGCCAGGTGGCTCCGATCTCCCTGAGCCTCGTGATCCACCCCGTCTCGGCCTCCCAAAGTGCTGGGATTACAGGCTTGAGCCACCGCGCCCGGCCAGGCCAGGCTGGTCTTGAACTCCTGACCTCAGGTGATTCACCCGCTTTGGCCTCCCAAATGCTGGGATTATGTGCATGAGCCACTGCGCCCAGCCTATGTTATTTTTATGAGACAGGGTCTCGCTCTGTCACCCAGGCTGGAGTACAGTGGTGCAATCTCAGCTCACTCCAACCTCAACCTCCTGGGCTAAATCGATCCCCCCCGCACCTCAGCCTCCCTAGTAGCTGCGGCTATAGGCGCACACCACCATGCCCCACTAATTAAATTTTTTTACAGAGACAGGGTTTTGCGATGTTACCCAGGCTGGTCTCGAATGCCGGGGCTCAAGCGATCTACCTGCCTCGGCCTCCCAGTGTTGGGATTATAGGCGTGAGCCACTGCGCTCGGCCTTCTTAAATTATTTATATAGTCCGGGCACGGTGGCTCACACCTGTAATCCCAGCACTTTGGGAGGCCAGGGTGGGCGGATCACGAGGTCAGGGGTTCCAGACCAGCCTGGCCAACGTGGTGAAACCCCGTCTCTACTGTAATACAAAAAATGAGCCTGGCATGGTGGCGGGTGCCTGTCATCCTAGCTACTTGGGAGGCTGAGGCAGTGGAATTGCTTGAACCCAGGAGGCACAGGTTGCAGTGAGCCAAGATCGCACCACTGCTCTCCAGCCTGGCGACAGAGGGAGACTCCGTCTCAAAAAAAAAAAAGATTTATATAAATATATTTTGGGGATGGGGTGGGTGGCTCACGTCTTGCTGTGTCACCCAGGCCGGAGTGCAGTGGTGTGATCACAGGTCACTGCAGCCTTAACCTCCCAGGGTCCTGCCTCAGCCTTCTGAGTAGCTGGGACTACAGGTGTGAGTTGCCACACCTGGCTGATTTTCACATAAAAGTCCCTGCTTTTACTCAGCTGACATTCTGTGGCGGGGAGACGGACAGTAAACACAAAGCAGAGTTTGTTATAGGGAAGGAGACCGCGCGGCACGTCAGGGGCAGTGAGTGCTTTGGAAAGAAGGTAGAAGGGTGCTGGGAGCAGGTGCAGATTATCCTGTTGGAGAGCATGGTCAGGGTGGGCAGTGGCCCCGCCATGGCAGAAGAGTAGCCAGTAGCCAGCACAGTTAGGATGACCTGAGGGAGTGGCCGAATAGAAGAGGGTGAAATCAGCCAGGGCACAGGGCCCGGCAGGCTCCACCAAGGACTTTGTTTCCTACTCAGAACGAAATGGGAGCTGTTGCAGGATGTTGAGCAGAGGAATGACAGATTCTGACTTGCATTTTAAAATTTATGACGACCTCTTTGGTGAATGTGAGTCTAGACAACAAGAGGGAGGGGCACAGCCCGGAGACTTGCCACTGGGCAGGTGATGAGTCAGCCCAGAGCAGGTTTGGAGTAGTGGAGGTGAGGACCCGTGGTTGGGTTCTGGACAGAAGTGAAGGCAGGTCCAGTCAGATTTCCTGATGGAGTGGATGTGTGGGCATGAGAGAGTGGAGAGACTCATGTATGAAGAAGCCTTTGCCTGCTCTGTACAAATTTGCCACAGAATGGCAGCTCATACTTGAGGCTCATCTGCAGGCTTTATGCCTAGGTTAGCTGATTCCGCTGGTTCATTTAACTGTAGGTCATGTTCACCGTGTATCCCTAGTGTCTATTACGAGGGTCCATAGTGTGTGCTCAGCAAGTACCTATTTGATGGGTGGTGGGTGGGTGGATGGATGGATGGATGGTGGGTGAGTGGCTGGCTGGCCGGCTGGATGGATGGATGGTGGGTGGATGGATGCATTTTTGGATGGTGGGTGGTGGGTGGTGGGTGGTGGGTGGTGGATGGTGGATGGATGGTGGATTGTTGGATGGATGGTGGGCGGCTGAATGGAATGGGAGGGCAGCTGGGTGGATAGATGGATGGATGGATGGATGGTGAGTGGATGAGTGAGTGGGTGGGTGCATGGGTGGATGGATGGTGGATTTTTGGATGGGGTTGGGGGTGGGTAGATGGTGTGATGGATGGAAGGTGGGTGGGTAGTGGGAGCTGGATGATGTGGGGTGGGTGATGTGGTCAGGCCTAGACGTTTTCCTTCTGTTGTTCACTCTCCCTGTGGGCCCTGCTCCTGAGCTTCCCTTCCTTCAGGTGCCACCATTCACCCCATGTCTGTGTTGCTTTTCTTCGAAGATTGGTTGTGGTTCCGTGCACCAACTCCCCTGTTCTCCCATCCTTTTGTTTCCCCTAAACAAGTGCTTTAAGATGACAGAGGGCACCTTTCTATCAGGTGCACGGTGTGGAGTCCTCCTGCTTGCTGCCTCCTGTGTGCAGTTTCTGTTCAGGGCTCTGATCTTGCAACTCTTGTTCTTAGAAGCCAGGGCTGTAATCACTGGAGCTCTTAGCAAAGGCAGTTTAGCCCCTGGGGCCTGGTATCGGCCCCTGTGAACAATGGTCCCCTGTGAACAATGGTCCCCTGTGAACAATGGTCCCCTGTGAACAATGGTCCCCTGTGAACAATGGTCCCCTGTGAACAATGGTTGCCAGCACCTGATGGCCTTCAGGGCCCCTTCAGTTTCCATTTCCTCCCTTCTGTTCCTGCAGGCAGAGACCGTCTGTCTTTCCCTTGCTGCTTGCAGTCTGTAGAGAGTCAAGGCACAGCAATGACATTCCTGGGGATTGTTTCTGGGACCTCCTGTTGAGGTGGCAACCTAAGACCCCCCCCCAGCAAAGTCACCCAGGGGAACTTCCCACAGACATCAACGGCCTCAGCCTCGCTGAGAACGGTCACTTCCTCTCATTGGTGGTGTTGATACTTCTCTGTCTCCACACAGGGGGCGATGATGGCCTTCTGAGGGGCTGGGACACCAGGGTACCCGGCAGATTCCTCTTCACCAGCAAAAGGTAACTGCCCAAGAGCCAGCACTCGGTGCTCACACCGGCCCTCCCGCTCCCTGGGTCACCGGCCCTCCCGTTCCCTGGGTCACCGGCCCTCCCGTTCCCTGGGTGCGTCTGTGTCCTGGGCACTGGTTCAGGCGCTGCCTCTGCTTGCAGACACACCATGGGCGTGTGCAGCATCCAGAGCAGCCCCCACTGGGAGCACGTCCTGGCCACAGGAAGGTGAGTCCCGGGGAGGCTCTCGGGCCCTTCTCGCCTCTTTCGCTGCCTTTCTTCCCGGCACCATTGCAGCATTTCATCTGCCAGTGCTTCGCCAGAGCGTAGGTATAGGGTTTGGGAAACGGGACTTTGTCCTCGAGGGATGCGTGGGACAGGTCTCTGGGAGACGTTCTCTGCCCCCCAGGGACCTTGTGGAACAGGGGAGCCTGGACTTTCCTTGCATGCCCTCGGTGTTTGGTTGGTTTCAGCTATGATGAGCACATCCTACTGTGGGACACACGGAACATGAAGCAGCCGTTGGCAGACACGCCTGTGCAGGGTGGGGTATGGAGAATCAAGTGGCATCCGTTCCACCACCACCTGCTCCTGGCCGCCTGTATGCACAGTGGCTTTAAGATCCTCAACTGCCAAAAGGCAATGGGTGAGTGGGGACCCGTGGCTGCTGGGCCTCAGGGCAGGGCACCAGTTCCCTGCCCCCTCGCTCTGCTGAGCTCTTCCCTCAGCTTTTACACGCTCCCAGGGTCGCACCCTAGACTTGGTCGTGATCCATAACCATCCCAGCTCCAGAATCTCTGCTCTCTAACCACAGTTTTCCCTGGTTTCCCAGCTCTGTCATTCCGGTGCCTCCTGCATTTCAGCAGACCTCTGACCCCACCGGGACCTCTGGTCTGGAGGCTTGGCCACCGTCACTCCTATAACCATCCTTGTCTGTGCTCTCCCATGCTCCTCCTGCTTGAGGTCAGCTGGGACTGTGGTCTGCTGCCCCTGTGAGCTACACTCCATTCCCTTCATCCCTTTCTCACACTTTGAGCAGAACCCAGTGTTGTTTTGTTGGGAACATGCACCTCTGCTTCTGGCTGAGCCGGAGAGCGTGGCTGGAACCAGCTGTCCACGCTGTGTTCCAGTAGGTCCCTGGGATTCCTGGTGATCTGTAGTTTCTCTAGGCAGTAATCCCCCACCGTCAGAACTGGTTCACATTTTCTTCTCTCTCCTCAAATCTCCAGGACCTCCTCTTCCCTCCTGACTCTCAGCTCATGATCTCTCTTCTTGTGCTCTTTCCTCTCCCCTCACTCCAAAAATGAGCAATCACAAAACCACCTCATCTTCCCACCATTAAGCCCACCAGCCTCTCGGGCCATCCGCACGCTCTCTGCTCTCTGCTCTCTGCAGCAGTGGGTGAGCCGCACCTGTTCCCAAGGCCAGTTCCTTCTCTGCACTGGATTGTACTCAAGGACTTGATTGATTTGATTTCCACATGGTATTCCTCTTTTTTTTGAGACGGAGTCTGGCTCTGTCACCCAGGCTGGAGTGCAGTGGCGCGATCTCGGCTCACCACAACCTTCGCCTCCCAGGTTCAAGCAATTTTCCTGCCTCGGCCTCCCGAGTAGCTGGGATTACAGTCGCCCACCACCACGCCCAGCTAATTTTTGTATTTTTAGTAGAGATAGGGGGTTCACCATGTTGATCAGGCTCGTCTGGAACTCCTGACCTTGTGATCCGCCCAGTTTGGCCTCCCAAAGTGCCAGGATTACAGGCGTGAGCCACTGCGCCTGGCCCATATTCTTCTGTTTTCTGCATCTTTAGTTTCTCCATCTCTTCTGTATTGTTTCTGTTAGTTCTGTGAATGTGCTTCATATTTCTCATCGTTTTTTGTTTTGTTTTGTTTTGAGATTGGGTCTTGCTCTGTCACCCAGGCTGGAGTGTGGTGGTGTGATTGTAGCTCACTGCAGCCTCAACCTCCTGGGCTCAAACCATCCTCCTACCCCAGCCTCCCGAGTAGCTGGGAGACCCCAGTGCGAAGCGTAATAATTTTTGGGTATTAAAACAATTTGAGATCTCTTTTTTTGGTTGTTTGTTTTTGGAGATATGGAAGTTTGCTGTTCACCAGGATGGCGTACAGTGGTGTTGATCTCGGCTCACTGCAACTCTTCTTCCTCTGGCATTCAAGCAATATCTCCTGCCTCAGCCTCCAGCGTAGCTGGATTACAGGCGACTGCCACCACGCCTGAGCTAATTTTTGTATTTTTAGTAGAGGATGGTTTTCTGGCCACATTGGCCAGGCTGGTCTTGAACTCCTGACCTCAGGGTGATCTGCCTGCCTCGGCCTCCAAACGTACAGCATTGGCCACTGCGCTCGGTTCCCTGGGTTCAAACCATCCTTCCACCTCAGCCTCCCGAGTAGCTGGGACCACCATGCGCCCAGTCCATAATATTTCTCGTCTTAAAACAAGTTTAAAGCTTTTTTCTTTATTAATGGTCGGATACATTTATCCTCTGAGCACTGCTTTTGCTGCAACCCATACATTTTGGTATGTTGTATTATTTATTCTTCATTCATCTCAAGGAACTTACTTTTAATTTCCCATGTTGACTTTTTTCTTTGATCATTGGTTATTTATGAGTGGTGTTGTTAATTTTTACATGTTTTTAAGTGCCCCACATTGCTTTCTGTATACCCAGTTTCTAATGTTATTCCATTGTGCATTGCTGTAATTTACTGAGACCTTGATTTCGGTAGGCTCTGATGAATGTGTTCTCTCCTGGGGATGCAAGCTGTAGGTGCCTATGAGGGTCTCGGCCTTATAAATGTTCTGTTCAGGATCTTCTGGTTCCTTACTGATATCCCTGTCTGTCGGCAATTTGAAAGTGGGCTAGTGGCCCGGGCGCTGGGTGGGCTCATGCCTGTAATCTCAGCACTGATGGGAGGCGCAAGGTGGCGATCACGCTTTGGATCAGGAGATCGGACCATCCATGGCTTAACATGGTGAAACCCTGTCTCTACTAAAAATGCAAAAAAATTAGCCGGCATGGTTGGTGGCACCTGTAATCCCAGCTACTAGGAGGCTGAAGCAAGAATGCAA